AAACATACCTGTTCGAGGAAGGCTGCGCAATCCTCTACCGGCTCGTCACTCCCAGGGTTGCCAGGTTTTCACAAGAAAACCCGCCCAATGGTTACTCAAAACTAGCCCAATCTCGTTTTGAGGGGGTAAAAATCGCGTTCCCGAGGGGTAAAATACACGTTTTTGACGGGCTCCTCTGCTACAATTTGCATTCCAGGAGATAAATATCATGTTATTGGAGTCGCTTTGGCGCTGACCAGGGGTGCCAGGTTTTCACAAGAAAACCCGCCCAATGGTTACTCAAAACTAGCCCAAAACTAGCCCAATCGCGTTTTGAGGGGGTAAAAATCGCGTTCCCGAGGGGTAAAATACACGTTTTTGGCGGGTTCCTCTGCTACAATTTGCATTCCAGGAGATAAATATGTTATTGGAGTCGCTTCAACATGAAACACAACCCGCGGCAACAGTGACTACGTTTACATGGACATCAGTAATCTAATTATTTACCTTATTCTAAATAAGCCAATATTATGATTATGGTGTTTACATGAGTTGATTTTAGAATATTCCTTTCATGTTCCTGTTTTACATGTTATAGTACATAGATCGATTAATGACACACGTCATTATGTCCCCACGTGACGACATCCGACGTCCCCTCCGTAATTTCACGTATAAACATATAGTTCGTCTTCGTGATGATGCCATGTACAGGTTTGGGTGTTTCATTTTTAATTTTATGAAAGCTTCAAGTGCAGTTAATTATTTGTATGTGCATACAGACGATGGCGGTGTGGAAGCTCTTTTATTTGCCGTCAAACGGTTGAACACTGCCGTGTGTGTATCCTGTCGCAAAATGCGGCGAAAAGTCCTACACGACTGTAATAATGTGATTAAGGTGTGTACAAGTCTTTACTGCACTTCAATAATGTGACTAAAATAGGAATACTCCACATGTCTTAATTCGATTAGTGTTTACTTCGATTATGACTTTAGCCAGATTAAGGTAATCAAAAATCTTTGTTTACATGGTAGATTCTTAATCAGAGTATTGTCTTAATCGTATTAAAATCGGAGTATTGTTGTCCATGTAAACGTACTCTGTGTAAAAGTAGCCCAATTCCACGGGAAAACCGCGGACTTGGCAACATTGGTCGCTCCCGCCTCACAGCAAGCGGCGCTCGCGCTAACGCTAGTGAATAATTCTTGTTTGTTTATATTTACGAATGATGTGTGTGCTAAGTGAGCAAACGGCAATAAGGATCACGCAACGGATCTCTTTCTCTTTTTCTCTGTATCGCTCTCTCCCTCTCTCTCCTTACCATCAAGCAACCCTCTACATTGCGAGTAAATCACTCGCATATGCGACTAAATCATTCTCCAATGAAAGGTTAGATTTTTGTGAATTTTTTAAAATAAAATATCAAAATGATTAATGCAGATTTATTTTCACAGCCTTCTTTGATCATATTTACCAAGGGTGCCAATAATTTTGACCATGACTGTATATATATATATATATATATATATATAATATGGATGGATGATAGATATAAACACACACATGCATATATAGTGTATCAGTCTGGTGAGTAAACTAAAAAATGTTGTAGCCAATGGCGATTAAATTGCAAAGGTGTCCGTAGAGGGTTGCATCAAGTAACTTGAACGTTGTTTTACTTGCTTGCTTTTGACATATCAGACCGAACTAATGTTCCAGTGATGTCTGTGAGTAAGGGATATTGCCACCGTGTTCAATCCAGTCAGCGTGCCTTGCTTATGAGCTTGCGTACATCAGCTATACAGGCATGAATAATGAATGTTTGACATTATATTAATTACATGTACTTCATAGACATCCTTAATCTTTAATAAATTCTGATCTCTGTTGTTAGTGATTCTTTATCTGGACACAACAGTGTTCACACGCTGTGTGGTATCGGAGCATTTTTATGAGAATGAGTACAAGTACGGGGGCGCAGTATCGGGTCCAATACCAGTATCGGTACATCCATAAACTGTACATTTTCACTATCTATGAGAAACAACAAGACCAGAAGCAGGGCTGGGGAGTAACGAAATGCATGTAACGGCATTACGTATTTAAGATACAAAATATGAGTAACTATATTTGTTATAATTACATTTTAAATAGGTGGTAATCAAATTACAGTTACATCCGAAAAGTATTTTAGATTACCAAAGTGATTACTTTGAATTTTAATGTCATTTCTTTATTTAATATTTAAGTTTGGGGATTTTAACCAATAAAAGGCAACTGATTCTCTGTTGAAAAAAACTGCGTGCAGCAGCAGCACTACAAGTTGCTGCTCATTTAGCAACTTGTAGTGAGAGTGCATACATGCTCATCATCACGACACAAAAATGGACGACACAACAAAAAGCCATTCGCGTAATGCATTTCTCTCATGGAAATAGAAAGACTATTTTACTTATAAATCTGAAAAAGAACGTAACATCTCAATGCAATGCAATGCCTACCTGCAACAAAACTTCTATCAGCATGAAGGATTCAACGTCTAATCTGAAAAAGCATCTTGAGGGAAGTTGTTCTTGATCTTTGAAAAATTTTCTCCAGTAACTCATTTTTCTATTTTCTCATATTTTGAGTGTTAAATGGTTATCATTACGTTTAATATTTCTAAGAATTTAATTGAAAAATGACAACGAATTCTCCTAGAATTCACACTCTGCATTCAGTTAACAGATCCATATGAATCATGCATGAAATAAAAGTTTATAAAGTCAAATGATAGCTTTGTGTGCTTTACAGATGAACTTTAGAAGTCTTTATTCATTCGAAATGTTCAAGAATAGATTATCTTTGGCACAGTAATGCGAGTTCATGATCCGATTCGTGAACAGATGAGTCTTTTGATTCAATCTTTTAAATGAATCATTTATTTTGTTTAACGAAACCAGTGTAAATGGTTCACATTAAATTGGATAGATCTGGGATGTGTTTCCCAAAAGCATCATTAGCGAACTGTGGTTGTTAAATTACATTGAACAATAACAACATTAAAGGGTTAGTTCACCCAAAAATGAAAATTAGCCCATAAATTACTTACCCTCAAGTCATCCTAGGTGTATATGACTTTCTTCTTTCAGACGAATCCAGTCGGAGTTATATTAAAATTTGTCTTTGATCTTTCCAGCTGTTTCATGGCACTCCGCATGCTTGATTGCGTTGCATGCTTCATTCCAAAACAAGTTAAATAAAAAGTGCCCATCCATAAAAAAAAAAGTGTCTCAGATGGCTCTGGGGGGTGAACAAAGGCCTCCTGTAGCGAATCGATGCATTTTTGTAAGAAAAATATCCATATTCAAAACGTAATAATCACTTTAATGTAGCTTGCGCTCACTGTTGTAAAGGGAAGCAGTTCCGGGGAAATGACGTATGGAGGTCGGCTTTGTGCATGCGCCGCTCAGAAGTGACGAACACGGAAGCGCAGGGGAGAGATCAAAACAAAACAATGGTCACTAATTAGAAGTACAAAACGAGGATTTGTAAAGAAGAATGTCAGAGGATTTAGATATAAGCCAAGAGGAGACTGGTTTTCCTTTGCTAAAGTAAGTAAACTTTGCTTCCTTTGCTCCTGTTAACAAACGTTGGTTTTCACGAGACTCACCAGCGCATGCGCAGTGCTGACCTCATACGTCATGCTCCCGGAACTGCTTCCAGTGTACAACAGTGAGCGCAAGCTAGATTAAAGTGATTATTATGTTTTGAATATGGATATTTTTCTTACAAAAACGCATCGATTCGCTACAGGAGGCCTTTGTTCACCCCCCGGAGCCGTGTGAAACACTTTTTTTTTTTTTAAGAATGGGTGCTTTTTATTTAACTTGTTTTGGACTGATGCATGCAACACCCGCTGAGTGCCATGAAACAGCTTGAAAGATCAAAGAGAATTTTTAATATAACTCTGACTGGATTCATCTGAAAGAAGAAAGTCATATACACCTAGGATGACTTGAGGGTAAGTAATTTATGGGCTAATTTTCATTTTTGGGTGAACTAACCCTTTAAGTTGCTTGCGACCGTAGTTTTGGGAAATGAGGCCTGTCAATTTTGACTCAGCGATTCTTTTGTGGCGATCGCTTCTCCGTAGAGAGGATCATCAGTGAAGTAATCACTTAAAGTTTGGTCCATTCATTAAACAAATCTATTGTATAACTTGGAAAACTGCCAGTTGTTTTGGCTACTTTTATGATATGTTTGGTGTGTTTGGATTTGTTTTGAAGCTTGGAATGCAGCTTGAAACAGCACGGAATCCCGTTCATTGTATTCAAATTGAATTTATATTGATTGGTAGATTTAAATCACACAACATTTTTTTGTTGTTCATAGAAATGCTGTGGAAAACTGATGGTGTTAAAAATAAAATGCAAGGAAAACGCAAATCTTATGACTGGTAGATTTCACTTTTATTTAGAGTTGGACAACATAAAACCAAGACATTAATATGTTCCTTTGTGTATAGCTTAAGTATTTCAAAGTATTCTAAAGTATTTTAGATTAAGTTACTAAACCTGAGTAATCTAACGAAATACATTACTGATTACTTTTTAAAGCATGTATTTTGTAATCTGTAGTGAAATACATTTTAAAAGTAACCTTCCCAGCCCTGACCAGAAGCCATTCATTTCCAATGGAGAGTAGATTGCAGATATTAGCTGTTAGCTTGTATGGTGCATCCCAAAATAAAATAAATAAATGCTTGTCTAATAATATGGTATAGGTAGTATTGGCCAGTAATGTGTTTAATGCAGGTTTTAGCATAGGATCAGTTGGACAGCAATCCTGTTTCTTTGTTAGTCATTCACAAGATCGTATTATTGAACCATATACATCTAATTCTTTTTGCCTCTTTCTTTTCCACACACACAGCAGATCCAGAGAGAAGAGGCTCCTCAGTGACAGGATATGATGCTGGAGGTGGAGGCAGCACAGGCTCTCCAGTGCCCTTTGACCTTTCGTCGTTCAGTTCCTCCTTGCCTGTTCGAAAAACGCCAGAGTCATTTTTGGGTCCCAATGCTGCACTCGTGGATTTGGACTCACTAGTATCATCAAAACCCAAACCTAAACAACCACCACCGCCAAGCATCTCCTCCACATCTCACAACCCCTTCCTACAGACACAGGGTGTGTATTTAAAACAACCCATGTTTAGAGAGAAATCTTTTGTTTATCCCTCTAACATTAGTTTTCTCCTTTAACTTTAGGTCCCTCCTCAACAGGAATGGGAGTTACCCCAGGCAGTACCATTTCCAGTAGAGGGGTGTCTCCGACGCCACCTTCTGCTTCTAATCCTTTTGGCGCGACCCCGATGGCATCCATCTCCCCTCAACCTTCTTCGCTCGGTCTGAGCCAGCTCCGTACAAGCCCCATTCCCCAGAATCCTATGCTGGGTCACATGCCTCCACCAGCAGTGGGAATGATTCAGCCGGGGATGGGCATGCCAGGAATGGGGGTCCCTATGGCGGCCCCTGGTATGGGCATGGGAATGGTACAGTCCAGCCCAATGGGCATGCCTTTTGGTGGAATATCCCCCATGGGTCCCGCAGGAAATCCCTTGCTGATGGGCCCTAGTGGCCCTGCGCAGCCTGCACTGATTTTGGGCGGGCCGTCGGGGGTGGGCGGATTGATGGGAACAGGAGGATCTATGGGAGGTGGAACAACAGGCACAAGCACCAATCCTTTCCTTCTTTGAGAGATTTCTCCAATCCCACGTGCCCTGTCAACTAAATCCAACCAATCCAAACCTGCCCTACCAACACAAACAGTTTGTGTTTGACAAAAAAGAAATGTGTATACATCTCTATATTTAATGAAAAAGTAAAAACAAAAATGTGTTATTTTCTTTCACAAAACAGCATTTCATTTTATTTTACACAGTATTTGAAGTCTATTTATTTCCCTATTAGTTCAATTTTTTCTTTGACAGACATGGATGATTGGTGGGTTCATTCAATGAATGCAGGCTGTTAATATTGTTATATTATTAAGATGATTGTTATTTTTCAGAAACATGAAGATAAGGGAGGAGGAAAACAAGCCACTAATGAACTCCATCATATACCCCTTTCTCCCCCTTTCATTGAGCCGGTGACCCTCTGATGAAAGAGTGCATGAAGGATGACTGTGACGGGCTCGCCCTGAACAGACTGAGAAGAATTCAGCTGTCCATTTTATTCACAACTCTAGTAAAAAATAAATAAAAATCATTCGATAGATGTATTACTTTTAATTTAATTTAATGTGTAATCTTGTGTAATTTATTTTAATCGTATGTCTCCGATTCCTGGGATCGATTAAACCAAGGAATATCGCACTGGAAATTGCCATTGAAACAGATGCCTGCTTGGTCTCCTTCGACCACCTGCGAAATTTCAGTCCACGTCAAGTGGTACACATGAAGAGATGCTGTGTGTGAGTGAGAGAGAGAGCTTGTATGATGTGTCCATTGTTTTCACACGGTCCTCTGCTGTGCTTCTGATGGGGTTTTATCAGCATAGTCTCACTTTCAGCACTCTTAACTGGTTATAAAGGTCCTTCTTTTCACACATTTATTTTTGCAGTTGTAAGAATCAAAGCATTAATTCGACACCTGTTCACGTGAGAATCAGCCTGTCTTTGCATTTCCCTTCAGCACATTTTTTCCTTGAACATTTACACAGAAAGTGGGAAAGTGTTGACGCTTCTGAAACTGAAAAAGAAAATTACCTGAATGATTATGTGAAATCATATACATTTGGGGACTGAATGACATGATCCATGCTGTTATTCTTTATTTACTTTCAAAGAATTATTTTATATATATGAACATTTTAGAGGTATTTCTCTATTGGCTATGGTCAAAAATTGTGTGGTGTTGACTGTGAACATTCACATTTAAAAATAAAATGGAGGAAAAAAAATAAAAGAAATAAAAAAAAATCCACAAAAAAATTGTCTTAAGCTTTTTTTTTTCTTTGGCATTGGTTTGCTTTTAAATGGCAACTAAAATAAAACACATTGGACGTTTCTTTTTATTTTGTTTTTAATTGAAGACAGAAGACATTGGCTCTCTAAGGAGATTTGCTATGTGACAAAGTGTAATAATATAAAGCAATAAATGTCATAATTGATTTCAGTCAAAATACACCCATATGTATTTCCATAATATACCTCAGTGTACTGTTAAACTGCATTTATCCTCCCACAAATTGTTAGTGTACATGCAATTTGTTGAAAAGGTGCAATTTAAGATTGTCTTTGGTCAAAAAGTTCTTTCAATAGCTATTAAATTGACTAAAGTGTCAGGAAAGCCTCTATCAACATTCAGCAAAAACTGAGCCATTGTCAATTGGCTAAGGTTTTGGAAGTGCTAATGCTATTTACATTGTAATACGCTGACATAAAAGGCAGCCTGGCGTGGATCGATCCACCCCAACCTTCAAGGTCTGGAGCAGTTCAGGAACAAACATGATAAATATTTTGCATTGCAAGTTTTGGTTAACCTCACAATTTGGTGCTGGCTATTATTATTCTCCAGCACTTCAACATGCAGTTGACTATAGCAGCAACACTGTGCCATAACAACCAAAGGAAACAAACAGCTGAATGATGATCATTGTTACGATGGTGCTGCTTTTGTTCCACATATAAATGAAACAAGATGAATGAGTTAGCCTCACCTCCTTTTTGACAGATACTCGTGCCTTTTCTCAATAATTGGCTCATGTTTTCTTTACGGTGTATTTATCTGCAAACAAAATTATTCAATCAAAGAATCCCAGTCGAAATCATCCTGGATTTCCTCACTGTTGACTTTCTTCAAGTGTGGACGTCCTGTTGGGGTCAGGGGTTGAGTTTGAAGTGCTGTATTAGGAGAATGAGTAAAAACAGTTAAAACGTTCTCCAAAACAATATCTTGATGTTCTACAGAAGTCATGGAATGGTTTGAAACTACATTGGGGTGAGTAATCAAATGACAGAATTTAAATTTTTGGGTGAACTATCCCTTTACGTTTAGATGCACAGTGGTCCTGTAAGGATTTAAGGGGTCTGTTGACGTACCGTTAGGAGTCAGAGGCTGGCTCGTGGTGGGCTGCAGCCCCAGGGATCTCTGTGCTGTCTGGTTCTGGGTGTGAGGAGTCAGGCTTCTCCTAGGACTTTGGAGGGGAGATTCACCAGTGCCAGGAGGGAGCTGAGAGGAGTAGATGAGTGGAGAGGGTTGAGTTAAACTAGCCAGGCTGGGAGGGTTAGTGGGCGGCATATTCATAGGAGGTGGGGCCATTTGTCCGAAAGAGGAGGGGCCACCAGAAGATGAACTAATGAGACCCTTCTGAGTGAAGAAACGGTTGAGTGAATCACAGAGCGAGGTGAAGAGCGTCGAATCCAAAGCCCAGTCACAGAGCTCAGCCTGCCGCATGCTCTCTACCAGGTCTGCAAGAGAACAACATAGATAGAAACAATTAATTACAGTGATGTACAGTAGTTTTGTAGTATTTTGAATGCATTCATAAATTAACAAACCTTTAAGAGACATTACACACTGATTATGTTCAGAATTTTTGCATGTCTATTCAATGAGGACGGTGTTCATTTTAATAAACTGGTCCAAAAAATGCAACCATTAATTATCCTTTTTTCAGCAAAATAAATATTTAGGTAAATAACACTTCCCACACTTTATGACCAATGAATTTCCAAAATTCTTCCAGGCCTTTTTTTAAAAGTTGTTTGTGACAACAGTCACTTATATTCACTAAGGCTGTATTTATTTAATCGAAAATACAGTAAAAGCTTTAATATTGTAACATGTTATTTTAAATTGTTATGTATTTGAATATATTTTAAAATGTAATTTATTCCTGTGATTTATTCCTGGATATCTGCTATGGTTTCATCTTCGCTTCCTTCCCTTAAGCAGTTAGCATCTCTTGATGCTAACAGTGCTACTGATACTTTCTGCTCCACTCTTACATCTAGCTTAGACCCTGTCTGCCCCTTGTCTTCCAGGCCAGCCCGTACCACCCCTTCTGCCCCTTGGCTGTCTGATGTTCTCCGTGAACATCATTCTAAGCTCAGGGCTGCTGAAAGGGTGTGGCGCAAATCAAAAAATCCTACTGACCTTAATGTGTATCAGTCAATCCTCTCTTCCTTTTCTGCTAATGTCTCCACTGCTAAAAGGACATACTATCATAACAAAATTAACAATTCGTCTAACTCTTGCATGCTCTTTAAAACATTTTCCTCTCTCCTTTGTCCTCCTCCTCCATCAACTCTTAACAGCTGACGACTTTGCCACGTTCTTCATTAATAAAATTAAAACCATCAGTGCAATTTTCCACACCACAATCTGTCAAGCACATCTTACCAGCAAACATACACTCGTTCACAACCTCTTCACTCTCTGAGGCAGAAGTCTCCAAACTCATCCTTTCTAATCCCCCTACTGCTTGCCCGCTTGATTCCATCTCATCTCCTTCAAGCCATTTCTCCTGCAGTTGTACCTGCACTCACTCTCATCATTAACACATCTCTTCACACTGGTGTTTTTCCTTCAGCATTTAGACAGGCTCGTATAACTCCACTTCTTAAGAAACCCACCCTTAACCCACCCTTCTTCCTTTCATTGCAAAAACACTTGAACGAGCTGTGTTCAACCAAGTTTGCCTTCCTCACACAGAACAACCTCCTCGACAGCAACCAGTCTGGTTTCAGAAGTGGACATTAAACCAAGACTGCCTTGCTCTTAGTTGTTGAAGCCCTAAGACTGGTAAGAGCGGATTCCAAATCTTCAATACTTATCTTGCTGGATCTGTCCTCTGCTTTTGACACGGTTAACCACCAGATCCTTCTGTCAACCCTATTGGCAAAGGGCATCTCAGGAACCGTACTCCAGTGGTTTGAGTCTTACCTCTCAGATAGGTCCTTCAAGGTATCTTGGAGAGGTGAGGTGTCCAAGTCGCAACATCTAACTACTGGGGTGCCTCAGGGCTCAGTTCTTGGACCACTTCTCTTCTCTGTCTACATGGCATCACTAGGTTCTGTCATTCAGAAACATGGCTTTTCATACCACTGCTATGCTGATGACACTCAACTCTACTTTTCATTCCATCCTGATGATCCGACGATAGCTGCTCGCATCTCAAGTTGTCTAACCTCAGCAGACCTTCAACTCAGCCTTGCTAAGACAGAACTGCTTGTGGTTCCATCAAACCCATCGTTTCATCACAATTTCACCATCCAGTTAGGCACATCAACCATAACTCCTTCAAAAACAACCAGAAACCTTGGAGTTATGATTGATGATCAGCTGACTTTCTCAAACCACATTGCTAAAACTGCCCGGTCCTGTAGATTTGCTTTATTCAGCATCAAGAAGATCAGGCCCTTTCTGTCAGAACATGCTTCACAACTCCTTGTTCAAGCTCTTGTTCTGTCCAGGCTGGACTACTGCAATGCTCTCTTGGCAGATCTTCCAGCCAGTTCTATCAAACCTTTACAATTAATCCAAAACGCGGCAGCAAGATTCATTTTTAATGAGCCAAAAAGAATGCACGTCACACCCCTGTTTATCAATTTACACTGGCTACCAATAGCTGCTTGCATAAAATTCAAGGCATTAATGTTTGCCTACAAAACCACCACTGGCTTTGCACCCCTTTACCTAAATTCATTACTTCAGACTTATGTGCCCTCTAGAAGCTTGCATTCTGCAAGTGAACGTCGCTTTATTGTGCCATCCCAAAGAGGCACAATATCACTTTCACTGACTTTTAAATTAAATGTTCCCTCCTGGTGGAATGACCTGCCCAACTCAATCCGAGCAGCTGAGTCCTTAGCCATCTTCAAGAATCGGCTAAATCACATCTCTTCCATCTTTATTTGACCCTCTAACTCTAGCACATTCTATTCTAATTCTATTCTTTAAAAAAAACTTGTCCCTTTTAGACTTGCACTCTATTCATTTACTGCTTGTTTTCTTTTCTTTTTTAAACTAACACTAGCTTTTTGTATTCTGTCGGTTTTCTTTTTATTTATTATACAATTAACAAACGCAAAAAAGGCCTCTAACACTAGCTTGCTCTAATCTTTTTATATTCTATCTGTTTTCTTTTTATTTATTCTAGAATAAAAAAAAACTTGCTACGTGTACTGCATTAAGTTAACTGAGACTTGTTATAGCACTTGCATTTCATTGATCTTTTGTTGATTTTGATTGCTTCCATTGTCCTCATTTGTAAGTCGCTTTGGATAAAAGCAATTGCTAAATTACTAAATGTAATGTAATGATGACAAAGCTGAATTTTCAGCATCATTACTCGAGTCTTCAATGTCACATTATCCTTCAGAAATCATTCTAGTATGCTGATTTAGTGCTCAAGAAACATTTATTATTATGACAGTTGTGCTGCTTAATGTTTTTGTTTGCTTATTACATTTCAATTTATATATAATGTAAAATAGAGGTTTTCCAGGACAGTGCAAACCCTGTAGATTAATTAAAGTGTTGTTTTAGCAGTTCAGCGTTAAGTGTAAGTGCATGAGTATTAATATTATAAGTTAACATCCTTATAAATATGTATTTAAAAAGATATTAATGGTTTTAGAAATTAGCTATGTTTTGTTTGTTGCATGTAGTGTAGCAATTTTCTACCAAATGGTAGTGTGACTGCTTTTAGTTTGAAGTATAAGAAGATTGCAACTTGGCAAGTTACAGTTTCAAAATAGCTTCACAACAGTGGAAAATACTGCTTGTGGATGCACAAATTCCAAAACGGTCACTTTGAAACTAAAATGTAACTCCAGAGCGAAAAGTGAAAGCATGTAGACTACAGCTGAGTACTGACCAGGGTGACTGGTGAGATCAATGTTAGCCCAGTCCAGACTACTAGCAATTCTGAAACTCTCTCTCAAAGAGTCAGCGTTACTGAACCAATCTGCAGGAACAGCTGAAGGAGAGAGAGAGAAAGAGATGTTTAGGACACTCGTATCCCATCAACACATCACCACTGAGCAGTTATACTCACCATTATTGTGCAGCAGCTTATCAGGCTCAGTGTTGGTGTTTGGATGAATGTTAGAGTTCTGGTTTGGGTTTAGGTTGTGGATAAAACTAGAGTTAGTATTGGGTGTATTTGGGTTGAAGTTGCCGTTGGTATTGAGGTTTGGGTAAAGAGTAGGATTGGGGTTGGTGTACTGGTTCATATTAGAGTTTGGACAGGGGCAGGGGGAGAGAGGAGGCAGGGTAGGTGTGTGGAGCGGTGTACTGTCATGGGTTAGTCCATGTAAATTGGTAACGTCCGCTATGAGAGAGAGTGAGAGAGAGAGAATGTGAATCATTAAACACAACTAAACTGACACATCTTACACCGACTTGATTCTGAATCAAAATAAATGATAAGCCAAAAGGAAAAGAGTGGCATAATAGATTTACTTTGTGAGGTGACTCTCTCTGTCACAGAGCGACAGAGGGACTGGAAGGAATTGTACAGATCTGGCAAGTTCAAATCAGCAAAGGAGAATCGAAGAGAGGGATCAGCATGAGGGTTCGAAGGAAGAGATGTAGGTACTGGGATGTTTGGACGTTGCTGTGGAAATTTAATTTGCAGAGATTCATTTGAGAGTTATTTAGATAAACAATGTAATATACTACTTAAAAGAATAGTTCAGCCAGAAATGAAAGTTCTGACATTATTTACTCATCCTCACACCCAAACTCCAACTTATTTTCTTTCATGAAGCACGATTCAAATTTTCAATTCGAATTTAAAGGGATAGTTCACCCAAAAATGTTATTATTTTCTCACCATCATGTTATTCCAAACCTGTATAGGTTTCTTTCTTCTGTTGAACAAAAAAGCCAGTTAATTTCCATTATGACACAACACAATCTACCAAAAAGGAAATTATCACAGCCATGTCAAGCGCAAATTGGGTTAAGAAGACATGTTTTTGTGTGGCGTCTGAAAGAGAAATTTCTACAATTGCATAAGGTCAGCTGAAAAAGTAATTGTGTCTGTGACTGCTAATTTTTTGCTGCGTGTCTTTAGTAAATATTGACAGTAATTTATTTTTTAATCTCAAAAGAGGGTTTGTGCTTGCACAAGCTATTAGTAAACTGGTGCTAGCTCCTAAGTTGACATCTTTAGAATATGGCACCTCTATTTGATGTCAATGTTGGTTACGTTATATAGAAACAATGACATTAATGGCATCTAAGCACCCTTTTTGTAGTTCATACAACTTTAAAGTTGGCACCTATTTTGTAAATGCATAGTATAGATTTTAAATACCATAGATAAAAATAATACCATACAGGTTTGGAATGACATGAGGGTGAGAAAATGATAACAGAATTTTAATTTGAACTATTCCTTTGAGATGATGCATGCATTTATATTCACTATAAATGAAAGTAATCATTTATAGTGTCTACCAGTTTACAAAGTCTACCAGTCACTAGCTTTCTTTTGTTTACCACACACTCTCATTTCCTCATTCTTAGACCTCAAGCTCTGCTATAAGAGGATCTTAATCCTTAATAGAAATAGAAAAGCAGAAGAAATGACTTTGAACCTTGCAAGGAGGGGGAGAGAACGTGCTTTTGGTGTCTGGCTGAGGTGGGAGGGGCTCTGCATGACAGACAGGCACTTGGGCCACTGAGAATGGAGCCTGAAAGAGAGATGTCGGTGAGTGAAATACTAATCTCACAGATGTGATGAATATACTTCATGTGACGTACTCTTACCTCCTCCTCTTTAGGATAAGGACGTTTGACTCCCCTGGGTTGAGTTGAGTTAGGCGGTACATCCATCGTCCAGTATGAGCCCTAAAACAGGTGATTATTTTAGCTTCAGTATTAGTAAGCAACAAAGTGGATTTGAGAGTGTTATAACAGTTTAAATAGTTAGTAGCATGACAGTAATAATCTTTCCTATTTAAAATGAATAAACCTTAGATATATAATAAAATCATTTTGCTACATCACCTTCCCAGGATCGCTCTGTGGTCGAGGAACTTTCCGGAAACATTTATTGAGGGACAAATTGTGTCGAATTGAGTTCTAAGAGACAAAACAGAAATGTGTCTGTACATACATATGTATTTGACATGCATTACTATGCAAAGGTTTTGGGTCAGTTAGCTTTTTGGTAACACTTACTTAAAGACTTTATGTATAATCCACTGTAAAGGTTATTAAAGGGTATAATGCATTTATAATTATTAATAATGTGTGTTGAAATACATTATATCTTGTCGTAAATACTTATAACCGAATTTAAAATGCATAGTGTAACAATGAATTGATAAGTGTTATAATGTATTAACTGTGGTTATTTGTCAGAATCTTGAAAAATGCATTTGTCACAACGTGCCTACTGTGTAGGATTGAGGAGTGCGGAGCGACGGGGAATAACACCAGGAGCAATCTTTTATTCATCCAAGTAAAGACTCAATAGCAGGAATACACGCGTAGCACAGGGGTTTGATGTTAGACACGGACAGGAAACAAGGGGCAGAGCACACTTTATATACAGAACTAAACGAGGGGAACTAGACGAGACACACCTGAAATCAATGAACATAATCAACACCGGAGAAACTGGGTCATGGGAGCACATGGGGAGCAAAACACAAGACACGGAACAAAGGGGCAGTCCAAGGGCGTGACAGCATTATGGTTTCCACAAAAATATTAAGCAGCACAACTGTTTCCAACATTAATAACAATAAAAAAGTGTCTTGAGCAGCAAATCAGCATTTTAGAATAATTTCTGAAGAACACTGAAGACTGGAGTAATGACTGCTGAAAATTCAGCTTTGCCATCACAAGAATAAATAACATTTTATGAGTCATTTGAATCATTTCCTAAAATCGTTTTTTAAACATGTCCAGATTCCTCAGATAATCAGCACCACTTCCAGTTAAAGAGCATCACATATAATTTAGCTTTAATCGTGAAGTAGAAGAGATTGCATCACATTTCCTGTAAAGTATCACTACACACCTACAAACTGTAATTTCACATTGACAGAAAATCTGTTATAAGTCTGTGTGATGAATCATATACAAATTTTATGTACGCAATAATAAAAAGCAGTCTGTTCACTTTGACACCTTTTGACCGTATGATATGATGCAAAAACTCTCCCCAGAAATTCAAGTCAGTGTTATATCTATCAAAAGAGAAACTGAGCCACTGGACAGAAGAAAAGGCATGTTTACTTGCTCCATGGGCTCAGTGAGATTCAATCAGGGCTCTGAAATCCAACAACTATCAAAGTCAATAGTCCTTAAAAAGGGCCAAGATCCCAAAAACATAAAAAAAAATTAAAAAATTGTATGCTGAAAAATTATGAAATGTTAAACTGTTAAATTGAAATGCCTAAAATCTACATTGCATCCATCAATGACATAAAAATGACCAGTTCTCTAAATGACTTAATAATACATTTTCCTCATACCTTCAATATACATCTTAATCATTATTTGAATGTTTTCAGTGTAGTATTTTTATATCGTGATTTATTAAATTATTACTTCATAAATATAATTGATATTTTTGGAGGAGTCAAAAATATTCATTAAGTTTTTTGAGGGGTTGCACCACATGACATTTTACAACCTGAACTAACCTTGCCTTGCCAAAAAGACAAGATGGTCAAATTATTTAATATTTTAAAATGACAAAATGTACATTTTTGCTAGGAAGTAATTTAAGATAATATTATGCCATAAAGTTTTCTTTTCAAGTGTTGCTTTCCTTTAATGAGTTTTTTTTCTGTATTATGATACCAGGAAGGTTGTATCATCCTGACATGTTTAACTCTGTGATTGACCCTAATATACAAAAGAACTGCTTTCAGCTACATTTATATTTCACAACAGTTGCTTTCTAGACTTGTTTAATAAATCAATAAAGGTGTAAATCCAAACCACAGGCCCAGTTCGAGCACAACTGCATACACAACTCTGCCTCAATGCACTATTTAGCACAAGGAAGTGGTCATGTAGTGGTCTGGCCTTTACCTTCCATCCTCTTCCTGCTCTGCTGTAATAAGGAAATGTATTGCTGATCCATGTGTAAATATCATTCAAACTCAGCTTCATTTCAGGAGCAGAACTTATCGCCATGGCTATCAGAGTGGCGTAGCTGTGAGGGGGTTTCACTTTGGAATTGGAACCAGGGGACGGTGTCGGTATGGGAGGGATGCCCTTCTCTCGTCCTCGTTCTTTTTTTCGCTCCACTCTTTCTTTCCCTGATTGCAAAGTGCTGATTCCCAGCTGAGGAAGCCAGTCAATGCTGGTCAAACTAGAGTCCAGTTCAGAAGTCATGCTGAAGGGGAGATCTGAGGTGCAGAGAAAACAAAACATTATGTAATACGGTGTGTTAACCCATGCAGTCCAGCTAAACTGTGAAACCAAGTCAACAATGCCATACCATATATTTAAAAGTGTGTAGTTATCCCAATCTTAATTTAAAAGTTTGACAAACAAACATAGGCTATACTTAAAGTATTAGAGTTACTGCACACTGTATGGATCAAATGTTGGATACACTTTTAGGTCTAATATTTCGAAAATAGCCTACTATAAGAGAGTGTTTAAGTATAAAAGATGAGAGAAAACATACCTCTGTTGTGTCAAAGGGCCACAGGTTTCACGCGGTGGTAATTTTTAATGCTGTCATCTGTTGCACAGAGGCATCTGAGGGATCTCCGCAAACGTTTGTTTATCCTTCTTCTTTCTTGTCTTGTGTTTATCGCTGCATTCGTTCGCTACCTGAAGCGCCTAAGTTAACACGTTTTGTATGAAATTTCTGTTTGGGAGAAGAAAAAACAGTCGGAAAAAGTTCTTGCCTTTCTTTCTCTTTCTCCCTCCCGTTCTGCCTGCGTTGAACGTCACACACTCCACCCTCTGTTCGACATTTGAGAAGTCGGTGTGTTTCTCCTCCTCTCTGTCGTTCTCTCCTCCTCTCATGGCTGCACTTGTAGTGTTTTACTGTTGAGTAAGTTCCTGTTTCTCTGCTGAAATAGGAGAGGAGTGGAGCACCAGGCGGGAACCCGCTGTAATAATTTCCATTCAGATTTTCTTGGTCCTATGACACAGTGATCTTTGCATCCTGGTGGATTTCACACTTGGCACACAACAAGTAATGAAGCAGTGAGGAAAAAATAACAAACGTTACTTAGGCTATCACACATATCAACGCCATATGCATAATCAAGAGGCTTAAGCGTTATTCTTATTTCATAAAAATGAATGTACCGAATACAATCATATGGTAATGATTTACAGTAAGGTTTTATGCATTAATATCACTTTACTTGTAAGTTAACAATAAAGGACACATTTACTTTTTTCGTTTTAATTTATACATATAACACACATTAAAGTTGTATGTTAAAATATACATTGTTAACTCTTTATGATCAAACATAAAATAATCATGAAAAATAATATAATCAAATTAAAATTAAGCTTGATTAATAAATGTGATAACATTTTAAAGTGAGTTTTCATTTGTTAACATTAGTTAACAGGAACTTACAATGAAAAATACTTCTAAAGCATTTATTAATCATAGTTAATGTCACAAATCAGGCCTCGGTGGCTCTCTCCGACGAGTACTAACGTTCATGGACTACATTTCCCATACACCCCGTACCTGGGACTGATTACTGGCACAGGTGTTTCCCCTTAGCTTCCCCATTTAAGCAGCTCCTAGACTCTCGGTATTCGTGAAGTCTTGTATTGCCCCGCCTACATTTCTGAGCGTTTATCCCCTGTCTTGAGCTCTCTTGTGTATTACCTTGGACTGTTACTACTAGTGTGATTCTCTGCCGCCTGCCCCGACCCTTGCTCTGCCTCTGTTTACTCTCCTGGATTATCCCTGCTGTTCGTGACGCTGTTGTTTGATTACTGCCTGTTCAACTCTGCCTTTGATTGAAATAAAAGCTGCAAATGGATCCGCACGCCTCTGACTCCTCGTTACAGTTCATGTTAATTGTTACTTTACTAATACATTATAAAAATCTAAAGGTGTATTTGTTAATATTATATAACGGACCTTAGCTAACACTAACTATCAATGGAAAGTTATTTTTGTATTAACTAACATTAACAAAGATGAATAAATTCTGTAACAAATGTATTGCTCATAGTTAGATAACGCATTAACTAATGTTAACATGCAGAACCAAAAGCGTTACCAAAAATTTGTAGATTTGTAGAACCATTTGAAACATTTTCAAATTTCAAATATCTGTGTTTTTTGGATGTTATTTTATTTGAATACACAAATGCTCAGATGACTCTAACAGGTTCAGAAAGCAGTTTGTGCTGATTTCTAGTAATTGATGTGATTATGTCTGCAGGGTGTGGTGTGTGACTGGCCCTACAGAGAGCTGAAGAAGGCCAGCAGGCCTGTATCAGGGGAGGGGTGAGCCAAGAGCTTCTGGATCTGTGTGCAAAAAATGAAGGAGGACAGGTCAGAACATGAACACAACAATAGCTGAATGCAGACTTAATCACTACAAAATCCCAACCACCTCAGCAGCTCCTCATACAGACACAAACAAACCTTCAACCAGGGCTAAGAAAACCCTTGCTGAATCATATGATTTCCTCAAGGTCTTATAATAAGCGACAGCTCATCCCAAAAGTCAAAAACCCATCTTTTTTTTTTCTTTAGCTGAACACAAAAAGAGATGTTTCATAAAATATCCAAGCTCTTTTCTTAACAATAAAAGAAAAAAAGGAATTAGTGCTGTCAAACCTAAAAATGTCCAAATAAATAAACATAAATGTGGCCAAAGCAACATTTGTGTTATATTCCTTCTGTCAGCTTTGTGTTAAATATACATTAAAATGTAACATTCTTAAATGTAAAAGATCCTAAATTTAAATATATATTTTTTTTAATTCAAGAAATTTAAACTGTATATATTTCCATTTTACATTTCTTGAATAAAAAATAAGAAAATTTACATATAAATTAATAATATACAAATTGTGATCAGATGGATTTAGAGTGCTGTGAGATAATGAAAGAATGCATTTTAGGTTTAAAAGAGTTACAATATGGCTGACACACAGGTCAACAGGTACCTCTTTAAAGTTGGGGTGCTTGGCATCCTGCACTAGTTGTAATAAAACTCTCTCTGTAGTGGTGAGAAACGCCCCACTCTGCTTCAGTCGTAACAAAAAGACGATCTGTCTGACTGAAAATGACAGACAAATATGTATAGAAAACCCTGAGAATCACTGCCTCATAGGACACAGCAGATTCTACACAACCATCTCAACAAATAAACATATATCTGTAAGCAAACACTGTAAAATCCCTCCTGTTTCTATAGACCTTTAGAAAAAAGCTTATAGATGCCATCCATCAATTGACCTGAGTTTGTGTTTGAAAAGATGTGGGTGTGAGTCAAGATAAGGTATGTAAAAGTCTTGTATTTGCAATGATCTAAAGAGAATTTTCGAGAAGAGACGGCATCTGCTACGATATGAACCTCCATGCCTCGCTCCAGGAGATCATAGGTTGTGCACTACAGCAGAATAAGAACCTTAAAGATCACGATCAGGAGATAAAGGTGTGGCTGATAGTAAAAAAGTGTCATGGCACCAGTTTAAACAGCCATGTGATGTTACCGCAATGCACGCTTGAGCCTCGATGCCACATAATATGACCTGCTGAGGGTCTCCCGGGCTTTTGAGTGAGCTCTCCACACTCTCCGTCAGCATGGAGAAACTGGTCTTTGTATGAGACTTCAAGCCCTCGGCCCCCAGCTCAGGAACAGTGGGACCCAAACCTTTAGGGTACTGCTCGGTTAAAATCTGAGGGATGCTTAAGATTAGACATGCCTGGAAGTGAAAAATTATTAATACTATGTTAATATTAAAAGTCGTGGCCTAATGGTTAGAAAGTCAGACTCGTAACCCTAAGGTTGCAGGTTCGAGTCTCGGTACTGGCAGGGATTGTAGGTGGGGGGAGTGAATGTACAGCACTCTCTCCCACCTTCAATACCATGACTGAGGTGCCCTATAGCAAGGCACCGAACCCCCAACTGCTCCCTGGGCGCCACAGCAAAAATGGCTGCCCACTGCTCCGGGTGTGTGTTCACGGATTCCGAGTATGGGTTATCATACTTGGCCACATGTCAAAAAAATAAATAAAAAAGTTGCCATATTAAAGCCATATTAATAAAACTTAAATGGTTCTGATATTCCTCACATAACACATATGATCCTTAGTGGTCAAAACCAACTTAAGATAATAAGAATAACATTATTCTATTCGAATTAATGTATGATGTTTTGTTTCAATAATATTTTCATGGTACATAATTACCTGCATTACAGTTTGCATTAAATATATTTAGACATGATCAAAGACTACTTCATTGTGGAAGATTTGTAGATTGTATACCAAAAAATTGCTCTGTATTTTTTGTACGCCCTATTCATTTCCTATGAAGGTGTTGATTCTCTACCAGGGGGCCGGGGCCCATTAGAGGGCCTCAGAAAACTTCCATGTGACCCAAATAAGTTTTAAAATGATTTCAGTTTAGTTATATTTACATAATCTTAAATGAAATAGTAAAACACTAAAAATAAAGTTGTACAACATTTTGTTTTATCACAACACATGTAAGTACCAGCAGTACTTATTAGTTTATTGGCAATGAAAGCAAAAATGTTAAGAGCTACTGCAGTAATACTTTTTTTGTGTGACTAAACCGTATGAGTGTCTGACTGTGCCACCTAAATGAAATTAAAATAAAATGTTTAATGAAAATAAATACTATGTCTAAAAACGCTGCCATTGGGTTTCGAGACACTGTCCTTGTACCAACAATAGTGAAAGTATGTAGGCAGTTCTCTAATGCCCTGCATATTAATAATACATTGAATCTTTCCTACTTACACACAGATTGCAACTGTCATACTGCGCTGATAAAAGAGTTCAATGGTATTCAGAGGCCGATATGGGGGAGTCGCAGACCGCAAAGATCAAGTGAAGACTAACCAGGTCACCGTTACCCGTGTGTATGTGCTTTAAAGTGTCCACCCACTGCTCTTATTGGTAAAACTGTTGTTAAACTCTAGTGAAGTTTATATGGTAATGAGTAAGCCGTGTATAACACCAACAGAATCATAAATAACATAAAAGACAGCAGCACATAAAATGCAGAGAAGACGACTCGTTACAGCACAAATGTATATCTTAATATCTACGTGTGCCCTTGAAATAAATACACACACACACATATATATATATATATATATATATATATATATATATATATATATATATATATATATATACATAGAGAGAGAGAGATAGTGTTAATTTTTTGTGTTAAATGTCTATTTAAATGTGATCGCTGAATTTGAACAAAACATTTTCATGAACGGATTCAAAAGAATCGAGCCTCTAGACTGAATCAAAACCCCCTGCCGTTAGGGGACACAGTCAGATACAAAACAATACAGCCTAGTTTATTCAGTTATTGTTTGTAAAGAACATGTGCATTTATATGTTATGATTTTAAATGCACATACACGTTCCTGAAATCACCAGCTGTAATAAATACCCTTTAAAATCTAATATATTTGAATAGCTTAAAATTGTAAAGTTGACCCGGAAGTGTTTGGGAGTGGCCGCTGACCTTAGCGGGTGCACTCTCACGGCCTTGGCGTTTCAGAGATTTTGTGGGAAATAGAGGCTGTGCTTTACGTATTTGGACTTTATATGGAATAAAAAGGTCCCCAGGTTACATAAAGCATATCTACAGAGACCCAAGTCACTGGGAGGTCTGGCATTACCTAATCTGAGGTTCTATTATTGGGCCACCAATATTAGAGCCTTAAAATGTTGGCTTTATTATAAGAATTTAGAGCCTCTTCCCCCATGGCTTATGATGGAGGCAAATTCCGCAAAACCCAACTCACTGAATGCTTTAGTACATTCTCCCATTCTATCTTCTACCTCACCCTTTTAATTCGCGCCCGCGAGCATACGCGTGTGAAGTGCAGACGCAGCTGCGGGCTACTTTTAAACTGTTGCCACGGGTTATAATGCAAGTTAACGGTTCTAAATTCACATTAAACCACAGCTTCATGGGTTTTTTGCTCTGATTTATTTTAGATTTTGTGTTGGTATTGGTATATTTTGCATGCTAGTGATTGGAATCGATCCCTTGACGTGATTGGTTATTGGTTTGTGACGTAGCAAACCAAGGGCTGTTTCAAACCATATTTCTGGGTCAGCCTTTGGGAAACTACAGTTTTAAGGAGAAAATACACAGCAATGGTGTTGATTAATAGATTGGTACATGGTTTGTCTAAAAGCTTATTAAAACACCACATAGACAAATAAACAACATAAAAAACTTGATTTTCACTACAGGGGTACTTTAAGATTTGGGCTCAGTTTAAGTGCTTCTTTGGATTACAGTCATTCTCAATCTATGCTCCGATAGCCAGTAATCATGTTTTTTCTCCCTCTCTATTGGACAGTGGCTTTTTATCTTGGTCTAGTTGTGGCATTAACTCGTTCCATGATTTATATATTGATGGCACTTTTGCTTCTTTTCAACAGCTTAGAGAGAAATTTTCACTTCCAAAGCAGCATTTTTTCAGATACTTACAAATTTGTAGTTTTGCTCGTGCCACTTTTTCAAATTTTCCTCTCCTGCCTAATGATACTCCTTTGAATAGTTTTTTCATTCCGACTTGTACTTTAAAAGGCCTAATCTCGCAAATCTACTTTCAAATCCATAGCCTATGTCCTGAGTCTTTAGACTCCATTAGGGCTCTTTGGCAAGATGATGTGGAAGAGGAGCTATCAGATGAACTATGGGAAAAGATCCTCAACAGGGTATACGGATCATCTATATGTGCCAGACATTCACTTATTCAGTGTAAAGTTGTGCATCGTGTCTATTTTACAAAAGCTAGATTGGCTAGGATTTATGAAGGTGTTTCTCCAGCATGTGACAAATGTTGTCAAATTCCGGCAAACCTATATAATTATTGGACAAACATTTTTGAAACTTTATCATTTATTACAGGGGAAAGAATTGAACCGAATGCTCTCACTGCTATGTTTGGAATTTGCCCCTCTGTACCATCCTTGTCATTTCTTAAACAGGATGCCATTGCCTTTGTTACTCTGTTGGCTAGGAGACTATTATTGCTGAACTGGAAATCTAAAACGCCCCCTTCACATTCTCGTTGGTTATCAGATGTTCTTTATTTTATTAAATTAGAAAAGATATGATTGTCCCTCAAGAAATGCTCAAATAAGTTTGGAAAGCTGTGGGGCCCCCTCTTTCAGTATATTAAAGAGAATGGTTCTTTACTCAGTCCTGATAGTTGATGGGAAAGGAGTAAGGCTTGATTTCTGAAGGTTGTTTTACAAATCTCATAAACGGCTTGAATAACAGATTAATATTTATTTGTATATGTATATTTAATTATTATTAGTTCTTATTATTCTGACTGTGAATTGTTTGTTCATGTTTTTTTTATAGTTGCTTTATACCTTATTTTATTAGTATTGACACACATTGTGTTAATCATTGCTTTCTGTTTCTGTGTACACTCTTTTCTGTGTAGAAAATTAATAAAAAATAAAAAAAAGACTGGAGTAATGGTGCTGAAAAGTCATCTTTGCCTTAACACAAATTTAATTTTAAAATATTTTAAATTTGTAATATCACAATGTGGTTTCCTTAACGGTTGTGTTCATATGCCCAACATATGTCTAACATACTCATGAACCTTTCTTTGACTTCAGCTGCTGGTCAGATCCCGGCCACTGCTCTGCTACCCACAATGACCCCTGAGGGTCTGGCTGTGACCCCAACACCTGTTCCTGTTGTGGGCAGTCAGATGACTCGACAGGCCAGGCGGCTTTATGTCGGCAACATCCCATTTGGCATCACAGAGGTAAGATTCATTTTTATCATTGACATTCAGTAGTATGTGATTATCTTTCCTTCAACGTTATCATGAAATTCATGAATCCAGTATAATTTGGGCTGTCAACCATAAACTGGGGTACAACTGATTAATTTTGTTTAATGCTTAGCTTTTTTTTCTTACACAAGTTTGATTAATAGCATTGTATTCTGAATTTTTTTTTTTAAAGGAGTCTATGATGGACTTCTTCAATGCTCAGATGCGTTTGGGTGGCTTGACTCAGGCCCCAGGTAACCCAGTCCTTGCTGTTCAGATCAACCAGGACAAGAATTTTGCCTTTTTGGAGGTCAGTCTTCATTCAGAGTGGTAGAGCAAATTTTGAAGATCTTCTGGGAGCCTAATAATGTTATTTTTATGCTTGGCAATACAGTTTCGTTCGGTGGATGAAACGACACAGGCCATGGCATTTGATGGCATAATTTTCCAGGGACAGAGTTTAAAGATTCGTCGACCACACGACTACCAGCCTCTGCCAGGCATGAGTGAGAATCCCAGTGTCTATGTCCCAGGCACGTCTCTCTTTTGCTCCCCCAATTCTTGTACGCGCAATGTTTTGTTCTTTTCATTCAAAAGTTTAGTAGTTATTGACTTAATTTCGATCATTGTTGGTCACACTCTGGTTCTTTCTCTGTAGGCGTCGTCTCCACGGTGGTGCCTGATTCGGCCCATAAACTCTTCATTGGCGGTCTGCCAAATTACCTCAACGATGACCAGGTTTGTGTTAAAATGGCATTGTGTTCCATTCACTGACAGTCTGTTCATTGAAGGGACACCGAGTTATCCCTCTATTGGGCAGCGCTTTCAGAATCAGATCTGCCAATCTTTTTACATTTTATGCTTTACAAAATGAAATACAAAACCTTTTCATGCTCCACAGAACAGTTGCTTCTATGATTTTAAGCTCCCTTTTGTCAGTATGAAAAATGCATATACAGTGGTGCTTGAAAGTTTGTGATTTTTCTATATTTCTATATAAATATGACCCAAAAATCATCAGATTCTGAAATAAGACAAAAAAATACAATCAGACAAATGAGCCAAAAATATATATACTGTCATTTATTTATTGAAAAAAAATGATCTAGTGTTGCACATCTGTGAGTGGTACAAGTATTTGAATCTTTGCTTTCAATATCTGGTGTGACCCTCTTTTGCAGCAATAACTGCAGCTAAACATTTCTTGTAATTGCTGATCAGTCCTTCACAACAGTTTGAAGGAATTTAAGCCCATTCCTCAGTACTGAACAATTTCAATTCTGTAATATCCTGTGAACTGCTTGCTTCAGATACTTCCACAACATTTCAATTGGATTAAGGTTCGGACTTTTACTCAGCATTTCCAAAACATGAACTTTGTTCTTCTTTAACCATTCTTTAGTAGAACGACTTGTGTGCTTGGGGTCATTGTATTGCTTCATGGCCCACTTTCTCTTGAGACGCAGTTGGTAAATGAATAGTATTCTTTTATATTTTTCTTTGTTAAAGTTCAATGAAATAGTTCTTATAACTTTGGAGAGACAGAAATTCTGATCAACAAATGTTTTCTATTGATTTATGGAACGACTTTGAATGAACATCTACTAATGGATGGAGGCACATGTTCTGTTGGTTAATTAGTGAGCATCTTTCTGGCTTCATTATTTTCCACCAACTGGTTTTACAGCCAGTTCTCTTTTTTTCTCACCCTTTTTCTTTTTCTCACACCCCTCTTTGATTCAATGCCATCTATAACTTTCTAAGCTGCTCTATCAGCTGCTTTCTCTCGCCTTATGAACAGTCCTCTCTCTCTTTTCTGTCTTTGCAACTGTAACTCCCATGCTCTTAATGTCATTAACAGGTGCTTGTCCAAAATAGAAGCCTTGCCCATACAAACACAAACATCCGTGGATCAGCTGACATACATTCGATTTACTTTCCCACAGACGTGCAAAACTCACACTGACATAAACTGGAAAATGTCAAATCTGTCCATGCACAGATAAATACTCTTGCCTGAACCTTCTGCTTGGTGATTAAGCTGTCATACAGTCATACTGTCATACATAGTCTTTACAACTTGATTTCATGAGCCCCAGTCCCAGTTTTCTCCACCCTTCTTTTTTCTGTCCCTCTCTCTTTTTCTCTCTCGCTCTCTTTAAATCCCTCCTTCTCCTCCTCTCTCAGCTGAGTTTCGTGTATCTAGTCATCAGATCTGCACCCGCACAGAACAGGTCAGGATTCGATTGCTCTCACTGTTGCTAAAGCTTGATGGCTTTTCAATGCACTTGCTGCACACATGCATACTGTCATAGTTTAATAAAAATGTGACACAAGCCTTAAATTTAATTTAATAGGTTTGTTGTGCAGCTTATTAAAATATGGATGTATTGATAGAAGTATAAACGCATTATCTGCAGACTGCTATGGTTGTAACTGATTGTGTATTAACTCGATTTAAAAAAAAAAATGCATTCATAATTCAGTTTTTATTGCAGCAGATACCTGTTGAATATGTGACTTGATGTGTCAAGACTTTGTTTGCTTTTTTCTTGCTATTTGATACTCTACAAACATTTCGGCAGTTACGTGGATGTCATTTATTTTGCTGAGAAATGTTTATACATTGTTTCTGGATACTATATAGTAGACCTAATATGCAAATGTGGGGCTGAAGCCCAGTTGCTTTAAAATGATAATTGGTTTCTTCTATTCTGACTGCCAAAACGGTCTCGACTGAGATGTGAGCCCCTTGCTATGGGTGCAGATGTTTTCCTTTTGAGGCAAAAACTTGCAAATTATAGTGGATATTATAGAAGCGTAATGGTTGTGGTAATATAAAGAGCTGTGATGGAGATGATCGTAGTGGGTTAATTATAGCCTGTGTGTTACATTTCCAGATCGTGTTTAGTGTTTTGATAGTGTTGTATCTCAAATGACACATAATATGGCCCAAAAAACCTTTACTGAATATCTAGTTTGAACGCCGCACACCTTGAAACTCTCTGTCCATAGATCTAATAGTTCTCTGTACACGTAATGCTCGGGTATTTATGAGGCCTTAAAATGGCACAGATCAAACATGCTGGGCTAAAGTGGGCAGAGTTATGCGGGTATGTGTTGATATCTTGGAGTCGCATCTGGCATCGCTAATTCTTAGACAATGTGACCTAATCGTGACCTGTATTAACCTTCTCTGTAAGCTTACTGCCTGTTTGTTTACTCAACAGAGGACAAAGGTATAATTTTGTTTTCAAAGTATTAAAGGGGTAATTCACCAAAAATTGCAAAAGATGTCATTATTTACTCATTAAGCTTTTTCAAACCTGTACGAATTCTTTCTTCTTCTGAAAAAGATATTTTGAAGAATGTTGGTAACCAAACAGTTGCTGGTCCCCATTGATTTCCGTAGTATTTTTTCCATACTGTGGAAGCCAATGGGGACCGTCAACTGATTGTAGATCTCTGATAAAAGAAACTCGTACAGGTTTGGAACAACTTTAGGGTGAGTAAATGAGTAAACTTTTTCATATTTGGGTGGACTATCCCTCAAAAGCTGTTCTCTGTGCCACTAATAACTGGATTAGTTATGACCTTAAAGAGAAATAAAATTGTATTGAAACTGTCTTGTTTTCTAGTATAAAATATCAATGGAATTAAAAAAAAAAACAGTTTTCAAGATCTATACTCTAAAAACAAGACTTATAAATAATTTAATTAGACCTTTTAAAAACTAGTTCAATTCAAATTTTACTTCTAAATTAAAAGGTTTAATTTTTCAGGCTTGTGTCATGAATGAACATGAAATTACAATAAACAAAAGAATATTTTTGAATTAACATTGAAAATTAATAATTGCTGTTAAAAGTGGCTGTTTTGTTAATTCATGATAACTAATGTATGGCCTAATGCTAACAAATTCATCCTTGTAGTGTTCGAATTAAAACAGTAGAATTGAATTAAAATTACAATTGCTAATTAGAAGTAGCAAGCATCTTGAATAGTTTTTCTGTATACCATTGGCAAATTATTATTGTTTAACTAAATATTTAGTGACTAAAGGAAAAGATCAATTGTAGATTTCTGATAACTTTATCCTTCAGTCTTTCTGCTACTATTTATGTACTATGTGTTTTGAATTCTAGTCTTTTTTTCTTTTTTTCTGCAGGTTCATCAAAAAGAGGAATGTGTCGTCTTTTCACGGCTATATAAGGCTTCAATCCAGTGTCTCTCATCAAGTGGTTCTTTTCATCTACCCATTATTCCTGTCTAGTTTCTTATCAAACCTTCTCTCGTTTGTAGACGTCCGTTAATTCCCACTCTGCGCTCTTCAGAAATGACCCCCTGTCACATGAATTTCTTGCACGCTGGATTCCTTTTAAATCACAGAACATTGTAATTCACTATCATTTCCTGTTCCTTTTTGAGCTTTCTATTAATACACCTCTCTGCGTTCTCATTATCTGTCCATCTGTCTAACTCCAGACTAATGTCTCTAGTCTCCTGTTTTTTGCTTTAGTTTTGTTTGTCCCCTTTCTTGACTTTGCCTCTGGGAGTTTCGCCACTCATCTCCAAGCATTGTGGCTGCCATGTGGTCCAACTTATTTTTGCAGCAGGATGAGGACGGGAGAGCGGGTATGGCAGCTTTGGGTGGAGTTGGCAGTAAGAGTGGGCGTTCAGGTAAACGGTCGAGGCCCCCTCGAATGAGTGACAGCCAGGAAGGCAAGATCAAGCTGGCATTTTTCGTCGCTCTCATAGGCGTGACTCTGACGGTGCTTGGCATGGGCACAGAGTTCTGGGTGGAGCTATCCCAGCCAAAACACTTCAGGAACAACCAGACGTGTGAGATGGCACATTACGGCCTTTGGAAGTCATGCGTTCGCACGCTATGGGTGTCAGATATTGACCCAGAGAGAGAGAGCTGTGGACCTGCAGAACTGCCTGGAGGTGAGAGTACACACTCACACACCCACTGTCTATACTCCGAACAGAATACTACCACCATACTTCTCACTCTTTCTGCAGTATTTACTATGCAGATTTTCTGTACGCATAATATGCAATTATTATTTGGGTTATATTAATTATTAATATATTAATGCAAACAATTTTTTTTCCCAAGATATGATAATTGTACACTACTTGATAAATTAAACATGCAGCATAATGAGATCATGGACAATAATGTAGAATCATTTTGTTAAAAGCATTTCTTGTTGCTTTTGATAGTTTGATAGTTTTCTATTCTGAACACAGTCACCATATTACACACCCTACCAAACCAATGTGTCATTTGTTTGATTCCTGGGGAAACTGGAGGCTGAAATCATGAGATAAAAATACAAAATAATAAGGAACAATAAAGAAATGATAAGATTTACTAAATTAATTACCACAAATTATTTAGTTAGAGTTTAAGCTTTAACCATTTCATTTATTATTTGTTTATCATGTATTGTTGGAAATGTGAGCACATTATACAGCATAGTATAGCCGGGCATACGTATATTTATGTATCTGGGTTAGCAGGAGGAGCAGATCATGCATAATTATTTTTAAAGACACAAAGCAGCATTCAGCTCACATACAGTCAAAACCATGATGTTATTAATGACTTAACTTTTTGAGACGCTGCAATAGCTGCTTAGTTTACCGTGTTCTGGTTTGTGATATTCATCTTACCTCTCATATAACAACAGGCATGAACAGAGAGCCAGGGAATTTCGTTTGTAAGGCCCAGAGGACTGTGATGATGTCTCTTGTAACAGTGCCACTGGTGTGACTGCCAGCTCTGTTAAGGAACAGTTCCACTCTCTACTTGAACCTGTCATAACAGATCATTACATGACGCCCCTTTAGCTGAGACTGCAGAACAGCAACTTTTGGGCCAATTTTTTTCTGGCAAAGTGGGCAAGATTTACCCAATCCAGAGGAAATGCAACTGGTTTCTGCATCGATCGATATATTTCATACTGATAATGATAACAAAAAAATTATTAATAGTTTGATGCTGGAACCCTGTCATTATATAGAGATGCCTTGATTTCATTAGTTATGAATTCCATGATGCATTTTTAAGGGATCTGTTCAATATTACATTACCAGCTCTATGATGATCATATCTAGTGCAGCTCACAGCATTGACCTTATTTGACTGTGCGTGTATGTGCGAATACATGTATTTAAATTAGGCTGTCAAAATAATTTTGTACAATTAATATATATTTATTATTTATAGGCTACATTAGTATTTTTAAATCAATGTAAATATATAACACATTTAAATTATATTTATTTGTCTAATTATAAAACATGAAATTATATGTGTATATATATATATATATATATATATATA